TTTTGTTTTTGTACTCCTGCTATCACCTTATATTAATTCGCCTTGAGTGTGTGTAGAAATTCAAACAAAATTTTTCAATTTCATATCAGAAGCCGTGCGGCGAAACACATATACAAAATCAGCTGAGCTACCCAGCAAAAAACACGTTTACCACAGAAGCGAAAGTGTAAACGAGCTAGGCGATGGGAATCGCTTATGCTTTCGCTTCAGGAAGGCCTTATTTTAACATGCGCATGTCATTGGCGGTAAGCCCTTACCCGCAGCATTACCTTCAAACGAAGGGAGAACGCATGGATAAACAGAATCCAGAGAAGCGAACAAAGAATGCCTTACAGAGAAACTAATGTATTTAGAATGCCCAGATGAGTACATACTTATTTATATTAAATCAGAAAATGTCTTAAAAATTAAAATTAATTAAAATTTTTATAAATCAGTTTTTATACAAACATATGTATGTATTTGGGTATTTAGATTTTACTTAAAAATCGGTGTGTACATACATGCATATTTAATTAAGCTTAAAATTGTACTTCCTCACTCATGTACTTCACTTCATTGACTGACTTCAACTTCGCTGCAAATTGAACAAAGCAAAACATGATTTTTATGCGAGACAAATTTCCACAGAAACTAACGGTAGAAAAAAATTTTTTTGATATTCATTCTATTTTTCAGCTGACTAGGATGCAGCATTCTACTTTGCATTCCCCGAAATGAAGCAAAGAAGCGAAATAAACAAAAAATTTTGTAGGACATTCTACTTTGCATTCCCTGAAATGAAGCAAAGAAGCGAAATAAAAAAAAATATTGTAGGACATTCTACTTTGCATTCCCCAAAATGAAACAAAGAAGCGAAATAAATAAAATATTGTAGGACATTCTACTTTGCATTACCGACAATGCCTAAAAGAAGCGAAAAAATTCGAAAGCATTACAACGCTATGCCTTCTAGAACACGTTACCACTAAAAGCGATTACCGATTTTTTGCTGGGTAGTAACACCACCTTATATTAATTCGCCTTGGTATATCTGTTAAGTTGCGAAATCTCAGTTAATTTCCTGTCATATTTGATCGTCATCTATTGACTTTTAACCGACTTCAAAAAAGGAGGTGGTTATCAATTCGTCGGAATATTTTTTTATGTATGTTACCGCATAACTTTGGACCGTGCTAACCGAATTTCATGAAGAAATTAACGGTATTCTTAAATTTTTATATGAGAATTGAAGTCGGTTTTGTTGTTTGCTTAAATATTAGATGTTATTTTCTCAAATCGTTTTTTATGAGTAAAAAGTATAAGCAGAATCAAATCGCTTAGCTTCGCCGGAAAAAAATTCGGTGTCAAAATTAACAGTTGTATTCTAACGAAAACTATGTTCACATTACAGCATAAATTACTTTGTTTCGATCAAATTACTTCACATAAATCAAGTACGTTCAGACGTTCTTTCATAATTTCTGTAGATATTTGATCAAGGTACATTCAAAACAGGTAAAAGCCAATTTCACGTCAAACTATCAAACGTCAAAATTTTCTGGAGTAAAAATGAGAACGAGCATGTGAAATGAACAAGAAAAAATCACATTTCACTGGCTGACCTTTTTAAGTATATTTTTATGCCCGCGAACACTTGTGCACAGGGTATTATAACTTTGTTCGCATATCGGTTGTTTGTAACAACCTAAAGGAATCGAGATAGATATAGGCAAATGTATACATAAATGATCAGAATGAAAAGAGAAGTCGATTAAGCCATGTCTGTCTGTCCGTCCGTCCGTCTGTCCGTGTACACGATAACTCGAGCAAAAATTGAGATATCTCAACGAAATTTGGTATATAGGTTGACCTTTATCCAAGGTAGGTTGCTATTGAAAATGGGCGAAATCGGACTGTAGCCACGTCCCCTTCTCATATAACGGTATTTTCGAAAACTATGATATTTCAGTAAATATTGGATACAAATTGTTCAAAATCAGTGTGTGAAATAGAATTTTGGTGCAAAATAATATTATTAAAATTTTTGGAAAAGGGGCGTTACCCCGCCCACTTATGATGAAATACTTCATCTTTGTAGCCGCTTCACCATTTATTACCCAACTCGGTATGAGCCTTGCTTAGGATCCAGCTAGGAAATTTGTTGAAATCGGATAATAGCCACGCCCATCTACCATATAACGGGAATTTAGAGAAACACAAAAACTGCGATAGGTCAGTAACTACTGATGCTAACTGACTGAAAATCAATTATTGCAATGACCACTGAGCAGAAAATTAGATTATTACACATTTTTGGATTTTGGGTGTGGCTCCGAACACTTATGACCAAAAATGTGTATCTCGGTAACCGATTTATCAATTTCTACCAAACTCGGTGCATTTAATATCCTTGGTACGAAAAAGCAATTCATTGAAAATTATTCAAATCGGACTAAAATTGCACCGGCTTCCCGTATAACGGTAATTTGCGGATATAGGAAAGCTGCG